AATAGTCAAAAGTGTGAAATTTTGGTATGTATTAAAAACGGCGATTTATAATGTACTTTATAAGTTGTGACGAATACAAACAAATGATTTTTCCTTTCTCAGTTTGTTCTACGGAACCCTTCGAGCGCGAGTCCGAATCGCACTTGATCAGTTTTTTTTAATGGTAAAATGCGTACTTTTTATGAGGAAGACATGGTAACTTACCCTGGAAAAATAACGCTGCACCTGATTATTCTCATAGCCTACATACAACGACCATTTTGTTATTATTACAGCTACATTATAATGCTTATAAAACGTCAGAAGCACTTAATTAGGTAAGAATACTAAAATTATTATAATTTAATGTTTAGATATAAAAAAATATCATTAACGTTTCAGCGGCATGTTTTCGGACAAATACTCGCTCCATTACTTTGGTATTGTCATTAGTTAAAGTAGACCTTATTGCCATCTAATAAGGACAGTAACCAGTCGATAAAACGACGCGTTGCGCAATAAGTCACAAAGATGTTATACTTGCAAAGTTAAAATGTCTTCTCCAATATTTCACGTAGTTAGGGTACATTTCTTAATGCCCTTATAAACTGAGTGAAAGAGCTTCACGTTTTTGATAGGTACCGTATTTTCCAATGTTGTGGCTTCGATTGCCGGTAATGAGAAATTTTAAAAGAAACTGTTTTAATTTTTTCTTCTCGGTTTTGACTTTACATAACGTCTTAGTTCTTTAGTACCTCATGTCTACTTTAGACGTTACGTCTAATATGTTCATTATTATTATTATTATTTCATATTGGAGTTAAAAAAAATCTGTTCTTCAAGGTGTTTTTTTTTATTTCATTCTGTAAATTAAAAGCTCACCCCCGATTTCGGTAACTGCAATTTTAAACATTAGTTTGATATGGATTACGCCATTACACAGCAAAACGCTATGTCTTTAAAATCAGCCAGTATTGATAGATACAATATATATTTGACGTTTGTTAGAAATCCGAATAAATGTGATCGTAAGTGAGACTGCATCTTACAGAATACCTATACTTCTTGGCTTTGTTTTATTCCTTTGTTCCCAATGTAGCATAGATGGAAAATAAATACAACACACTCTATTATTTCATTGATAATTAAATAGAAGTACCGATGATTATTTTATTCAACTATTAAGTAGATAAGTTATAATTTAATTGTCGGTTACGTGACCAAGTTCATAAATCGAGGAAATTAAAAACAAGATAAGAAAAATTATGGTCAACAATTTTCATTCAAATAGCGTATTATGGCATGCTCTGTCACATTCATAGCTTACAAAGGTAGTTTATTTCACTCGTTTTTACCGTATTTACCGACAGAGTTGAATTAACTTTAGATTTAAACATCTAGCAGTAACATGATTAACAAATATATGTATATATACTAGCTGTTCCAGCGAATTTAATACCGCCATAAAAAAATGTATGATGTATCATAAAAAAATAAAAACAAAAAACTTTGTCCAAAAAAAATAAGGGTAATTAATTAGACCACCCTTAAAATTTAGGGGGATGAAAAATAGATGTTGTCCGATTCTCAGACCTACTAATATGCATATAAAATTTCACGAAAATCAGTGGAGCTGTTTCGGAGTATGTATAAAAAAAAAAGTTAGTTCAATTACGCACACCGTGACACGAAAATTTTATATATTAGATATATATTTTTATGTACTGTCATAATTTAATATCAAGAAAATTGATTGGTACTCACAATGCTATCAAACTACGGTTGAATGTAACCTCGGTTAAGGCCGATAAATGCTGACCCCCTTGTTAATAAACAAGAAATAAACTAAGACTAGTTACGCCGTGTTTTGTTCATTTCACTCAAGTGCCATTTTTAATTCAATAAACAGAGACAAAACATAGTGTGGCTAATCCAAGCTTATTCTTTGTTTATTAGTCAGGGGGTGATAGTTTGTTAAACATATATACATATTTATATTTTTTAAAGTAGATAGGTACCAAATGAAAGAATTTCAATTTACTTTTTTATTTTGTTCAAAAGCGTATGCATTATTATATCAGACACTAATTTGTGCCAATTGACTTAATATTGTTCCATTTATGGCTTTCTATTCAACTTATTTATTTTCTTACACTATCTTGTGTGATATTATTAATATCAAATTAATAGCTATCGAATTTAGTGTTTATATCAAACTTTATTTCATGCAATTGGCACTTCTATATTTAAAACGGCTGATCCATATTACGGTCACCGCATTGATTGTAAAAATAGAATCTTGCTGCGTTTTCGATGTACACTGTGTGTATGTAACTAAACTACTTCTTGATAAACATGATCCTTATAGTAAAACGCGTTGGCTTACTAAACTTTATTGCTGGGCAATAAGATCTAATTTACTACGCGTAGAAAGCAGCTTTGTCGGTCGCTTGAATGGAATTCGTGCTATATGCTCTCCCACGTTGAAGCTTCGGTTCAAACAAATATGTATAATGCTTGGTTTACGCGTTGGAGCATCGAATTATAAGTTCTTGTGCGACTTTAAGTATTTTATCGTTTTCAATTCAACTTTAATGTAACCACACAAATTTTAAACAAATTATTTTATAGATTATTAGGTATATATGTTTTATTTTAAGCATTTAACAGCTAAATATCCCGACTGAAACCTGGTCTGAGTAGAATTTTTCCTAGTAATCTTTTTTTTTATTTAAATTATTTTATCATTGTCTATTTTTTCACCGAAAGCTTGGATTGTTTTAAAGTGCCATTTTATTATTTTTCTTCTTTTAAAAACATATTTCCTTTCGTTTTTCCCAGAAATCCAATGCTCATGTATAAAAAATACTTTTGCCATTGTAATAATTTCTTGCGTTTCACTAATTACTGAAATTCAATAAATTTTGTATTTATTGGAATAGTTGCAATACATTCCAGTGGGAGTTTAAAACTAAATGTAACCGAGTCGGTTACGATCACACTGGTTTTGACACGGTTACATTGAATTCCCATTATATTATACATATATACCTAATTTAATAGAAAATATCGATTTTATATCACGAAATCACTTTGTAAAAACTCTTATGTTATTTAATTGTTAATAGCAATATCTATATTAGATTAAATTGTTTAAATTATTGAGTTAGTTGAGAGAATTTACTAGCGAATTCAGAAAGGAATTTAAGTCTAACTTCCGCAAAAAAAAACCTTTATTATTTTTTTCTAAAAGTGTCTCCACGTTAACTCAATAACAGGGAATATACACGTTATTCAAGTAATGCTGTTTTATCTGGACTCTATTTTTTTTTAATTGTCCCTCCAAAAAAGTATTGATACTTTTTAATAAAATTTGTTTTGACCAATAAATTAATTGCTTATTGGAAAGTGCGAAAAACCTGCGGAAAATTAAAGTATTTGAAGCGCTACAGAGCGGTTGTGACGTAGCAGTACAACAGAATATAGACAGCAGTACCCTTAGCACGAACCAATATCGAATTCGAATAGTTTGCTAACCGAAATTTTTAATGTCAAATTTTGTATGGAAACTTAAACAGCAGCGGTACAAAGTTTGTAACGAGAACTAAAAATCGGTACACATTTGACAATGACATTTCGGACTTGGAAACGATACGAATTCGATTTTGGTTCGTGTTAAGGGTACAGATCAAGAGCTTACCCATTAACAAAAAAACTAAAAGTCAGGACTTTTTGGCGGGATCGGGAAGCGTCACTTTAGCAGTTTTGTTTTTAGTGTTAAAAATTGTGTTGTGGCGGATGTTAGTGTGTAATAATGGTGGATTATTAACCACTAAGACCAAGTGTAAGTGAGTAGTGCGTGCCCCTCTAATCAACTGTCGACTTGTTTGTTTTGTTGATATAAGCTGACGTCATAACAAGTGTTCCAAATTGGCGAGCGTTTAAAATGCCCGTGCGAGTAGGTGGTTATTTTTAAACATTTTTACGGTTCCTTAACCAAATGGCAAAAAATGGAACCTTTATGGATTCGTCGTGTCTGTCTGTCCGTCCGTATGTCACGGCTACTTTTTTCCGAAACTATAAGAGCTATACTGTTGAAACTTGGTAAGTAGATGTATTCTGTGAACCGCATTAAGATTTTCACATAAAAATAGAATAAAAAAAAATACAACTGAAACGCAAAAAAAAAAAATTCATCAAACCCATACGTGTACCTACTTTTTTATTTTTTTCTAAACTGACTAGTTTGCGCTGATCTAGTAAGTAGTTTTTTTAGTACGTCATAAATCGTAAGAACTTTTATTTTATGTTACATGCTGCTATAGAACACTTTATGGGCGAGCCCGACTCGCACTTGGCCGCTTTTGTAGACACATTAGGTATACTTTATTTTCGACGTTCAATATTTTCATCATAAATATATTACGATGTTTACTACTTAATAAAAAATAATAATATGTACTTAGCAATTTTAGTTGTCATCCATTCATTCAAAACAAAACTACTTTTAGGCTCAACTCACACTGGCGAAGAGTCAAAGCGTCGCGTCGCGTTATGTTTGTAGTCTTGGGAATACCTTAACAGTGGGAAAATAGAGATGAATTTGGTACAGACGAAAAAAAAATGGTTGCCTGTAAAGTCGGTTTTACGGGCGAAGATTTTACGTGACAACGTCTTTTTCTCGGTAGAATATTTATTGATATGAATATAATTAAATTGCACAATAGGAACAAGGAATTGAATGAAAATAAGAATTGCACAAATTTTAACTATAGAAATATATTTTGTTTACTAAAACATTGTACATGTAAACTTAAACTTAACACGAGAGACTCATCGTAACGTTACCGAGCGTTACACTTTTTCATAAGTGACTCCCAGCTGCAACCTAATTTAAGACGTTGTCACGTCAAAACATGATACTTGGTATTACGAAGACGGGCGCCTTAGCGCGTTACTCAAAATTTACGTTGCTATAAAAATGGAACACTATAAATTAAGACATATTTTTTTTGTTACAGAGTACAAATTTCAGTAGCAGTCCTTATACAGAAAACAGGTAACGTTACTATTTTTTTCTTATTACTATCATTACTGAAGTACCTACTGTACCCTTAGTACGAGTTTTACAATTACGAAAACTATGATAGTTTTCGAGAGCTCGCACTCGTACTAAGGGTACTGATTTTATTGTTTTCGTTTCAAAACAAATAAACAGTGTTTAAATTCTATCATTAAAACATTTGCGTCTTCTTAAATTTTAAGTATAATTGGTTACTTTTCACCAAAATGGACATAGAAACATAATTTACAATTACGAAAACTATGATAGTTTTCGTGAGCTCAAACTCGTACTAAGGGTACTAAGGATAGTCAAAAACATATGTCTATAAAAACATAAATAAATAATACTGCTAATTTTCTACGTAAACAATAGTTTACTGTATTGATCATAATATATGTACTTAGGAAATACAGTATAGTTCTTAAATCAATATTTTCAGCTATAAAACTAATTGAAAACCTTGGTACACACTACCTGCGTGCGTAGACTTGTTAGCAATAACTTATTTATGCACTATAACTTTTTACGACACATTAAGATGAGATGAGAGATAAAAGCTGCCGCGCACGTTTCGAAGGAATCCATTTGATGTTTTAGAAACTTGTTAAAATAACTATAAACTTATAAAATTTTACTAGAAAAAAAATCCACGTGGACCAGGCAGCAGGCGGGACTCGAACCCGCACCCTTTGCTATCTAGGCGAATGCACTGACTATTATTATTACTATTGACGACCTCCTTAGCCGAGTGGTTTACACGCCGGGTTTCATGGTGTCGCCGACTCGAGAGGTCCCGGGTTCGAATCCCGGTGGGGGCATATGTTTTGTGTGATGAATACGAGCATTTGTACTCCAGTCATGGATGTTTAATATGTATTTCTATATACTTATATAGGTATGTACAATATATGTATTCTATCCGTTACCCTACTATTCCATAACACAAACCTTACAGTGCTTACTTTGGGGCTAGGCTAATTGGTGTGAGTGTTGGAAATATTTATTTATTTATTATGCTAATAGCGAAGGCTGCGGGTTCGAGTCCCGTCTGCAGCCTGGTCTGCGTGGATTTTCTCTAGAAAAAAAATATTTTAATTTAAATATCTAGCAGTTAAATGCTTGATAAATAAAAACACTTTAAACTAGGCATTATGCTTAAAGCTGTAAAAATAAATGAATATTTGTAATAATTTTCATTGTGGAGAATTTTTTTCGCCCTTTTTTCTCTATATCCGAATGGGTGGCGGTTTCTAAATTCTAAACAAACCTAATATAAATTTCAGATGCTATTAATTGAATAAAATAATAACTTTGTTTTGTAAAAATATATTAGTGCAATTGATTGCTAAATTAAACGTTAATAAACAGCATGTTGGTATAATATCTAATTGGTCCAAAAACTTTTTGATCGGAGCGGAGCTATCTTCAGAGGCCACTAAAGTTATTATTAATGACAAATTTTATAGTTCCAAGTTGATTTAATTAATAGGATACAATTTAATACATCGACATTAAATAAAAATTAAAATAAACTGTAGTATATTCAAACTTTTTAACAACACAATCCTTTTTTAGATATAAAAACCTGGGGTTTTCGCTCCGGCGAGGTGAGAGTTCGTTAGTGCCTTAATGATAATATAGATTTCCGTCCTAACATTGCAATCCTTCTGCGTATTTTCATTCGTTATTAATAAATCCGTATTTTATAAACGCACACCTATCCTATCGCCACAACACCGCGTAACCGTGATTCCTATTTGTGTAGAAATAAAACATTGTTAATGAACAAAAAAAGGTTTAATAATCAGCAAAATGCGATTAGGTACTTTTTTCATAATATACTATTAAACGATTTCCATAAGATTCAAAATCCAAATGACCAGACTACACTTTAGGCTTGTTGTTCATATATCATCGTCACCGTCTAACTGTGGCCACAATTTCAACGCGTACAAAGAAATTTGGTGGCTCATTTCTTTGTCGCGCTCAGGTGTTCCCTCCTTCTTACAACCTGGGATCCTTTACAAGAGGCGTGAAGAAGCAACATGCAGCCCGGCAGGGTGAGGATGGCTGGTGTGACAGGTAGAATTACCGTACAAGCTATCTTAACGTCTGGACTTCACTTAACATCAGGTGGGGCGGAGTCATTTGTAGGACCTTTCTATAAAAATACGGCTTCTGCGTCAGACCCTATTCATAACTATACCTAATTCCACCGTCGGTCGATTATCCTATTAGATATTCTAGAATGGATCAAAATTTCCTAATAATGGGTGCTCACTATTTTTAAAGCGGCTCTGTTACATACATAACAGAATTCTAGACAAACTACTGGACTTGTTTTTTTTTTATATATAGTTTTTATTCAAACTTAATTTATTAGCGGGCGCGTTTGTTGATTTTTGAATTTAAATAGATAGATATCCTCTTTATTACATACGCGATTAAAGGGCTTACAAAACAGATAATAAACTATGATGGGTAAAGGCGGTCTTATCGATCTCTTCCAGGCAATCTTTAAGTTAGAAGAGTAATGTGCCATAAAATAAAAATAAAAATACATATTATATGTAAAATACATACAAAACATTAATACCTACATATATATGATACACGCGACACAAGTTATATATTGCAAATTGAATTTACTGTTTTTGTTTAAATGTTTATTACATACATACATATTTAATTTAGTACCTCCACTCAAATTGATAATCGCGTATTCCTACTGTGGACTAATATTTCGATTGTGTTATGATTTTATTATTTAATCCATTTATGAACTTCACAAGGAGTTATGTGGCTTTAGATTTGTTTTTTTTTTGTATAATCTAAATCAAATGTCTCATAACTACCGTTGTTGTACAAGAAACCTCGTAATTTTTAAAGTTTTCCGCATCAATATTTTCCCACAGTTTCGCCAGTATCGATTGTTTGCTTACATAATGTTCAAACGTTGTTAGACAACGAGCTTGTAAAACGCAGTTTCCATTGAAGAATGTTTACCCATAGATTAAGAAAACTAAAATTATTTAAAAAGCGAATGTCATTCCAGTCATATTTTAGACGTCAAATTGAAACAATAAGCGAAGGCAGCCTGCGCCTTCGGCCTTAGCGCAAAGCGTTCCGATTTACAGGTGCGTCGTACACGCGGAATGATCGCATGCGATATTGATGTAATCGCGATGTTACGTTCGAAAAAACTCACTAGAGCGGGGAAAGTGACGCGCCGCGCCTCAACATCGTGAAAGGTACTTAGTCGATCACCGCTCTAACAAGATCCGTTACGTCCCCCGTAGCTGAGCGAAAATTCTCAGATCGGGGAACTGGGCTAATTTGTCGGAGATCTAGTTAAGCTGGCCGGCTAAACTTACGACACCGACAACGTTCGGAATTTGAACTACTTTCGCGTAATCTGTCTATGGAGAATATGGCGCCCTAGTTAAATTTTGTTAAAAATAAGAAAAATCATTTACAAATTTATTGATATATATTTTTATACAGATGAAAAAGAAAACATACGCTTTGGAAAAAACACATTATCAATGAGTATTTACAAATGGAAAACAAGTGAAATGTAATCCTTATCCCCTAAGATAATCTTTTTCTGTTCACAAATATATTAAGGCAATGGAAAATCACAACCCTTTTCAATTAATAATTTCCAATTGGTCTGAATAAATGTTCCATTAAAACTCTTACATTTCAGCATCCGGTGTTATAAGAAAAACGAAACAATGGTTATCTTGTGAAATTACTTCGGGTTCTGTGTCTGTCCATTAAATCACTTTGCGCGGAGACTGCGGAAAATTGGAATTTGGGCTAGTTCAGAAATATATTCAATTTGCAGGAACCGCACTAGTACATTTTCAGACCACAGTTCAGTTTACGTGAGTGAAAGGTAATCAGCTAAAAGTAAATCACTTTTACGGTACGACATTAAAAATTAACGAATTTACAAACTGAACAGAAAATTTTCAAAACGACCGATACGAATCGAAATAATATACTAAGAATAAACTTTTAATTGCGTAAACGTAGAGTCGTGAAAACGGTTAAACGATTGTTTTTTATTAAGGACTTCAAAACGTTTAAAACGAACAGGCTGTTAATCGCACAAACTAGCTCACTAGCAATAAACAGCTTACTTTACATCCTAATCATAAACAGCTTTGTCTACAAAACGCGTTTTGATTAACAGCTCTCACTTCTCGGCGCGTATTAATACATCCGATTTTCAATTGAATCCTGGAAAAGTAACACACCTGCCCCTCGTCCCTTCTCGCCACGGGCATCTTTGGATCGGATTCCTCGTAAAGACAGTCTCTCGAACCGATCCACAGATATTCCATGAAATCTAGAGACTAGTCGACAGATGAATTCGTTTTCCTAACTACGGACAAAGAAATCGAAACGGATCCATCACACAGATCCACCGACTGGTCGACAGACAGTTTGGAAATGTTGAAATTGCGCCACAGATCCGACGATCGGTCCAGTCGCCTTTGTACGTATATAGCAGTTTAATTTACGGTGTTGAAGTGAAGATAATAGGTGCTGTTGAATTTGCTAAAGAATAGGCCGGAGGCCTATTCGGCGATTTCTTTTACGACTATTTAATTGATGTCTCTATAAAAGTTTGTTAGCAAATCATTGTCATTAACGTTAATAAAAATACTTAGTAATTTTAAGTCTAAAGTTGTCAATTATGAATCACATTACAGAAATTGAATTCTTATTAACTACTTATAGCATTCAAATCTAAAGAAATACCTCTAAAGTTGTTTTGTAGGTACTTAATATGCATTGGTTTATACGAAAGCTGTTTTTACGTTTAGTTAGCAAGCGGCATAAAAATGTTTTACTTAACCTGATTAAACAGTGGCTATGTTTTGAGTTCTTTTGCGTGTTCTACCCTATTTAGCTATGTATCCTTATTAAAACATAATACTTATTGATATAACATAATAGGATTTGTTATAAAAATAATAGGT